GACTCCACCTTTGGCACTTAAGAACCGTGTGTGTGTCTGTGTGTGTAAGTAGGTCAGGAAGTCTGACCCACTCCAACACACACACACTTTACACTTGAGAACAGCCCCCCCCCCCTTTACACTCACCCTCTCCAATAAAGACAGCAGACGTGGCCCACTGGGAACTGAAACAAGCTCTCTCATGTCTCTGAGCCACTCAGCTAAACTAATCAAGTGATGCTTGTTCTGATTCTTGTACAACGTGGGTCTTATTTTTCAGGAAATTCAACATACTGTACACAATTACATCTCAGTCCTTTGCCCGCAACATGTTGAGCTAGTTCAATTCTTTGTTCTTTGCTGCACATTGAACCCCCTGTAGTGGAGGCAGGGAGCGGTTCTCAAGGGGGGCCAGACGGCTCGTCATGGGGACATAACGTCACCCTTTGCAGCAGATTGTGCTTCGGAGCACATGTTGACTCTCAATGCAAGGTGGACATCTTTTATTGAATATTTACGCATGCGAGTCCCAGTTGGACTTATTTCGGGGCACTGCAGAATGGGATTTTGTGATGTTGAAATGATCAGTCAAGGAGTTTGTAGAATACCGCCTATTCCGTGTTTCCTTTCTAAATAGTTTCCCGGAGTGTGTGCTTTAATACAAATGTTTTGGTTGGCCTTTGTGTCCAAAATAAGACTCGGCTACAAAATAAGGGGTGGGGGGGGGATTCAGAAATATTCATTGATTCGTTGTGTGAGGCGATTCACGGTTACCTTTTTTCTGCACCGGTTGCACGTTGTCAATCTGGTATACTCTGATGTCGTAGTCCTCTGGGATCCCGTGATCCGCCCAGCGAGATTGCAGACTGTTAGACGATTGTCTTGCGGCGAGGGGGGCGTCGCTGGAAACATGACGGGGGTGAGCGCCTACAAACAGAAAGTCATCCCGTATCAGAAATATGCTGCACTCTTTTCATTCTTCTCTGCCAATTTTTGAAACCTGTGAATGTACACACACACAAAATAATTTGGAAAAAAAAAAACCCAGCCATAACCCAATGCAATGTCCCGAAGCGTTTTTTCTCTTTGTCTATTGTTTGTCTGCTCGATTTGCGTCTCACTTTTTAACTGAACCGTTTGCTCTCTTTCAACCAAGTCCGACCTGATTTTGCATTTGAACTTCCATTGCGTTAGTGAACCGTTCAGATCATGTATTAATGATATGACTCCTGGCACTGTAGTGCTTTCCGTGCCGCTAAGTGTACATCATGTGACTGCATTCCACAGACATGTCATCTCCAATTCACGTCACCACATGGGAGGGCGGAAACGCTTTTCTTTTCATTCATATCAAATGTGGGCGGCACGGTAGCCGACTGGTTAGCGCGTCGGCCTCACAGTGCGGAGATGCAGCGTTCGATTCCGGCTCTGGCCTCCCCCTTGCCTGAGTGGGTTTTCTCCGGGTACTCCCACATTCCCAAAACATGCATGGCGGGCTAATGGAACACTCAATTAGTTGTTCGTCCTGTGTCGTACCTGCGTCGCCTCTCCGCTGAGATGACCTGCTACCGTAAGGCTCTCTGAGGAGGGAGCCGCTCCTGTCGCTTACGGAATCTCTGTTGGATGCGCAGCTGGCTGTGGCTTCGCTGTCCCTCACCAAGCTATCGTAGCCACTGCTCATCGTGCTGCGCCTGTTTGAGAAATACAACGACGTTTTCCCCATGGCTGGCGGCAAATCGCCACTGAGCACACTCGTGGTGTCGCTCGCGTGTCCGCTCATGTGAGGCGGCGTCCGCGGCGAGGTGACTTGGCTGTACGGAGAAGGAAAGGAGCCCGTCGGGTCCGGCCCCGATGAAGCGGGGCCGGCGGGTCTTTCTTTCAGGAAGTCTGAAATGCGGCCGTTGGCGAATCCCTGAATGGCGGATTTTGTGGATGAGCACGTGGAGCTTTGACTGGGCGTCCGGCTGATGGAGCGGAAGGAGGGTGGAGGGGAAGAGGAGACGAATGAGGACGTCCTCTCAAAGTTCACCGTTTTGCTTTCCGGGGAAAGGCTGGTGCTGCGGTTGATGGCCTGCTGCGGGCCTTTACGGGGGAGACTGAGGTTCTTGATGCTGGGGGCGGACAGGCGCCGCACTTTGGGACAGGCCAGTTTGAGTTTCCCGACAGCGGACAGCTTTGAATGTGCGGGCCTGGATTGAGTTTCCGTTTCGGAAGGGATGGAACTATGACCGTGGCTCGCCTGGCGTGTCTTTCTGGAGCTTTTGCTGGCTCTTGGTATTGTCCAATCCCCAACACTCTTCCCTTTGTGAGCACCTTTGCCGGAGCCGTCAGAACCTTTCTTGGAGATCCCCTTGTAGCCACTCCCCCTGTCAAAAGATGGCAAGTCACACGTGTTCCTCCCGAGGGATTTGCTCGTCAACGGATCCGTTTTGGCTCGAAAAAGTCTGCCGCTCTCCTCCAAGGGTGACATCATCATCCTCCCGGCCATATGATCATGTTTCATCCCGACCTTCGAGGTCTCAAACAACGATCCGACAGCCCTTCTGAGTGGTCTCCTCACCTCCCGCCTGTAGTCCGTTTCATATTTCAGCGGAGGGCCATTGCGCAGGTTGCGGCTCGCTGGGGAAGACGGCTCGCCTCGCCTCCTCTCGAGGGTTGCCCCTGGGCTGCACGGAGTGGATGATGTCAACCCCCTTGGGTCCCTCCAACCGTCTGCCATGTGATGGTTGGCGTTGAGCCAGCTTCGAGGTAGACTGCCTGTATTCAAGGACTCACCACTTGTTTCCAGGCAACCCAAAGTAGCACCGACGACCCGACTATTCCCAACACGCGGGCGAGCCGAGTCATCCCCCAGCAGGGCCTTTGGAGGCTCCGTGGAGTAAACACGCTCCCAGTCTCCATGGTAGCTCTTGTCTGTATTTCGGATCCTCTCGTCACACGTTTTGTTTTCCGCGGCGTCTTTACGAAAAGATCCATTTTCCGAGATCGCTGCGTCATGGGAAATCTGACCGCAGCTCGGGTTACTGATCTTGTCTGACATTATGATGGGAGACTCAGAAGCAGATGGTGGGCATTTGGCTGCCGTCCCCGTTGTTTGTCTTTCTTTCACGTCATCCGAACGGCAATGTTCATCCGCATTTACCAGCATGGGATTTATAAATGAAGGAAGCGATCTTTCCCTTCTTGAAGGATACGGTACTTTTTCAGTCGCCGCACCTCCCGGTTGAACAAAAGTGCCGTGGGTGACGTCGGTCTGACTTGCTGCTGCAGGGTCCTCCTCCGTTATATTGCTTATAATCTGGATGGGTTGTGAGCCCGCAGAGCCTTGCACGCGAGCTGTTGACCGGGTGGCGTCTTTGATACAAATGATGTTGCCTCCCGTCCTCCCACCGTCGAGCGTGCCGCTGATGGTCACCTCCTCCACCATTGAGAAGACGAGTTCATCTTGACCTCTGAAATCGAGCGGCTGTTGTACAGTCACGGTGATGGTCGCCGTCATTTCCTTGGCATCCTTTTTGGGGTCATTAGCCGCGATGTCCGTAAACAGAGAACCGCTCGGTAAAGGTTTTGAAGGGGTGCGGGGAGGAGAAGGGGGAGATGCGGGTAAACTCTTTCCAACCGGTGAAGTCCTTTTGTCCGCTTTGAACCAGTCTGCGGCTTCTTGACTTCCCTGCCTCCCCGTGGGCTGCACGCAACCGTTCGTAGCCGTGCCCTGAGCTTTGGCATCCGCGAGTGTTTCAGCGGATTGAATTGCTCCAGTTTTGGGGAACTGATAGCGACAAGTCGTGCTCCGATTGAGAGTTTGATTCAGCGGCTCCTCGCTGGAACTGGTTGCGCTGCACTCCTCGCAATCATAAAGACCAGAGTCCTCTCTCTGAAAATGCTCCCCACGAAAGGCACCATCTGTTTGTTTTTCTCGACCCGACGTCTGACTGAAGACGAGCCCCGGCTTCGACGTCTGCGGCGGCGCCGTTTCTGCAGTAGCCTGCTTGCCCGTCTCTTTCTGGGAAGGTGACTTTTGCGTGACATTGTTCATAGGAGGGCCTTGGGAGGACGCCTTCAACAAATCCATTGTTTCCTCTCCGTCGATGCAGCCCAAGCGCTCCTGAAGCTCGGCAAACGTGTCGCATTTCAGACAGTCCCTCTCCGGCTTCTTCATTTCAGCTTTCAGCATTTCGGTCTGCCCTTGAGCGTCATCTTTCTTGTTCTCTCCATGGAGCTTGGGAATTTTCAGCAGCTCTTGGAGTAAAGCGGTAAACTCCGGGTCTTCCATGTCAGCCTTGTACGGATGTAAGGAGGGGATAATGGGCACGAACTCCGGTTTTGCTAATTTGGGGGGAGCTCTCGGCTGGATCAATCCATCGGAGTCTATCTGGATGACGGTATCGCAGGACTGGTCGCTACTGGAGCGTTCATCGAGCTCCCCGCGGAGCCGAAAATGTTGCACGTCAACATCAACCTCGTCTGTGGAGTGGAACGCTCGCAGGGAAAAAGAAGGGGGGCCTCTTTTTTGTCGAGTCAAACTCCTGCCACTGGGTGAGCAAGAGCTGGATTGCTGTGGAATAAAGATACATTCGGCAAGGTTATTTACATCATCGACATGCAGTATATCATCCGCTTGGCATACATTGTACCATACTATTATTTCAACGTATACATTTTAGATGCTGGAAAAACAAATCCGTGATCCTTGTACAGCATCTAAGGATGACTAAAATGACTTATTCATTGTTGACGTGCAGTACCTTCGTCCTCTTCTGCGTCCTGCGGATGCGAGAGGCCAGCTGGATGACGGAGGTGGTTTCGTGTAGCTGCGCCAGTGAATTGGCAACCTGAGCGACGACTGCGGTGTGGCAGTTTGCGTGACTCAAGGACTCCCGGAGAAGCATGGTTAATTTACTTCCCCTGCGCAGACAAACACGTGCAACAAAATATGACGTCGGCCGCATGAAACAATTCCTTTTCCATTGTCTTAGTCGGTCCCCACATGGATCTGTCATGCAGTGGCTCATCTCTATTGTCACAAAAATGTGACAGTTGCTTACTTTTTGGGGATGGTTTTATGTCCACTTAGTAGTGACAAAACAACAGGGCCCAGGTCTGAATGCGGAAGTTTATTTCTGATATATCCAACCCCGCCCCTCATGCCACTGCAGACATCAATCATGGTCAACTTGGTTGGGCCCCGTGCACCTAAAACAACAACAACAACAACAAAAATTGGACATCAATATGGAAAATATGAGCGCTATATTCAATGTTAAAGTGAAATAAATCTGCAGCAGCTTTGAGGTGAGCTGGAAAAATAATGAAACAGAGCATTTAATTTGCCTGGTACAAATTCGACATCAACATGGAAAACGCGAGCGCTATATTAAATGTTAAAGTGAAATAAATCAGCAGCAGCTTTGAGGTGAGCTGGAAAATAATGAAACAGAGCATTTAATTTGCCTGGTACAAGTTGCCATGCTGGATGAATATTTGATTCCAACCTTTCCCGACGGTGCCGCTTTCTTGCGTGCGAGGGGGTTGCACGTGCAGAGTGAAGAACATGATGGAGCTGTGGGACAAGAACGTGGTGAAGTCATTGTGCCGGCGTGCCGCGATGGCCACGTCCAGGAGGGAGGCGGCACGCTCAGCAGTCGGGGCTTTCACCCGATTGTGGTTCCGGAGCTGGAAAGGAAGTCGGGCAAAGAAAAACTTTATTGTCGCACCAGAAATGACACGTAAAACTTCTCAAATACGCCGTTAGTTATGAGCAATCGAACGCTTCATCTTTGAAAAGATGTCAAAAGTATCCGTTTTGAGGAAAACATTCCGTGGGAAGTCCATCGAGTTAGCTCATGAGTTAGTCAGTTTGTTTGTGCCTTCGTTTGTTAGTTAGTCAGAGAAGGCCACTCGACAATTGCAAGCATTCCAAATGAATTAACTTCCAAAATGACACGTTGTCCCTTTTCTACCTGAATGCCATGGACGGGGTCCTCCTGGAGCCGAATGTGAGCTCTCGGGCTGTCCTGCACGCCGCCTAAAGGAGGGACGACCTCCCCCAGGAGATCTCTCAGTGTGTCCTCCTCTCCGCAGCAGAGTTCCACGGCAGATACGGATACGGTCAGATCCGTCCAGGTCTTCTCCCGCCGCTTCTCGATGGCGCTGTACAGCCAGGAGATGGCGCACGGAATCAGCCCGAGCTTCTGGATGCTCTCGGCATTGCCGACCATGCTGGACCAGGAGCCTGCGGCAGACAACGTTTCACGGGGGATTGCGCATGCGTTATAACGCGCGAGGCATAATGCTACAAAATGACATTCGTCACATTTGTGTCATCAACTTGAGGCCGGAATTATTCCTATGACGGCGATGGCGATGCGTGACGGGAGTACTTGTTGTCTCAAAGCAACGGACAGTATGTGAGGAACGATTTGCCATTTGGACCTCAGTGAAGACCTGAATTAGGATTGTATCGAAACGGATATTATTTTTCCTGGACTCGTGCCCAACTGTACCTCAGCGTGCACTTTTGCCCGACATCCGGCTCGTTTGGCCCGTTCCTCTCATCCAGACATTAATTGAATGAGTATAAGAGAATTAGTTTTTTTTTCCAATTAGATGGCCAAACTGCCTGCTACTGCCTGTTATTCAGACAGAATAGTATTCCGTGGAGGAGATTGATAACCCCCGGCTGCGGGCCGCGTGTAGTCTGCGTCGGCCAACTAATTCATTTATGGAGAGTGGCTTCATGTGAAAAAGCGGCTCCAAGGAGACCCTGCCCTTACCCTGTGTGTGTGTGTGCGCGCGTGCGTGCGTGTGTGCGTTCTACAATATCTAACGCATGCACTCAGTGAGGCTAAGTGCAGGGGTCCATATCTTTAATAGCAACATTTTACAGACCATTTTCTTTACAATCCCCTCTGCGCTCAGAGCATCCCCAAAATACACTAAAAGGTGTGTTTATGGGTTCTGCACGCTTGAGTGTCTATCACGTATGGGGATCTTTAGAGTTTAAAAAAAAAAAAAAAAAAAACATTCATACGATGGTCTGGTGGACTTTTCGGTGCAACGTCATTCCTGAAAGATGAATGGTTTTGTTGAAGAGGGCGTTAAGCAGCAACGCTTGGCTGTCGTTATGGTGGAAAAAGACAAATCCCGAAAAATTGTTCAAGTGCAGCAAAGAGGGCCGGAGATGGCGAGTGAGGACGCAGACAAAAATGGAGTGATAAAGGAAGGATGGATGATAAGAGGAGTGGTTCCTGCGAAGGTATAAGAGGAGAGGCGTGGATGAATGGCCCTTGAGCGTGGATAAAAGCATCCCCCACCCGTTTTAAAATTTGAACCCATGGCCTCACGCAGCGAGCGATGACTCACCCACATCGGCGCAGCCCAAACCCAGCACGCATCCGTCGCTGCCGCTCAGCACGCAGCGGATGGCGTCCGTCAAAACGCCTGCACACACCTCAGTCTGCTCACACGGACAGAAGACACCAAGCATTTTAGGACTCATTTCCGCAGGGAACGAGCGCGCAACGCTGTCTGCTCTGTCAATTCTCCCTCGGGGGTTGAATCATGGAAGCAGAGCTCAGACAACCTTGACTCGAATCGACCGATTAGCCGATTGAGCTATCCAGACGCTATCATTGTCCAAGTCGCCAGATGGGCAGAAAATCAGGAGTTGCGCGTCGAGGAAAAGCGAGACTTAACATATATGATGCTTTGGCGGAAATATTTCAAATGAAACTTGAAGTGATATTTGGTGATGAGGAAGAAGCGCCAAACCTGACTGGCGTCTGGAGGATAGACGGCGTCATAATGGAACGCCTTGAGAAGATCCTTGCCGTCCCTGCTGGAGGTCTTCTTAGCGCGCGGGGGACTCTGGCACACCGGTTCTAATAAAATGGCTCTTTTCTTAGTCGGGTCGATGTGCAGAACCTGAGGTTGACCCTCGCTCATTGCCGGGTTGACTCGCAACACGACTTTGACCTGTAAACAAAGAGAGGCAGCCAATAGGAACGAGAACAGACATTTTTTGTAATTACAGTTGAATATTGTGCTGTTTTAACTTACAAAACCAATTTTTGACTGATGTGTCAGTTTGAAGTTGTACATCAACCAAAGAGTGACAAATAAAAAGCGAGGTGGAAGAACAAGCTCTGATTTCGTTAGCGCAGACCGAGGATCGATGCATTCAATCACATCTGTACGTGGCGGCGCAAGTTTCTCCACACGTCCCGACTTTAATCACTTAACGCGGCGCGTGCTCGCGGGTCTTAAATTGGGTCCGATCCTGAGCGGCGGCCATTTCCGATAACTCACAAGATCAGACGGAGACGAGGGCAACAGAAGGCGTCGCACACAAAGGACAATACGGAGAACGGAGGTCGAGAGATGTTCAACCGATGCGGGACATTCAGTCGAGCGCGCCGGTCGGCATCATGCCCGGATGACATCATCAATCATTGACTATTTCTAATCCATGCTGCCGCATGATATTTCCTTCTTCCTCATAATTTCGATAATGTATGCAGTAAGTGTCCACCGAACCGTATTGAACCTGTGTCAAACCTAATTTATGTCGAGTTCAATTATTCAAGAGACACTTTAACAACTCAGATATGTTTTTCTTCTCTCTCTCTCTCTCTCTCTCACACACGCATAATTTACCACATCTGAGCTGAGTGCTCATCAGGCAGCTGGGGCAGGCTCGATGCGAGCCCATCTCTGTAATTCTAGACCCAGCCCGAAAGAGTCCTGTGTACGAGTCAAGGGCGAGCAGGCCGGTCTTATTGATCTCACCCGCTTTTCCCAATGGCCATGAAGGATGGGGAAGGAGAGAGGAAGATGGAGGCATTAGCGCCACCTAACATTGCATCATGATGAAGAGGCGGCGTGATACAGGATCCCCTCCAAATTGACCGTGATGTCTTTAAAATTCAATCTGGTCGGTGATAACTGCGAACACGATGCCCTTCGTGGTTTGGAATGGCGCTTGTACAAATGCATCGCCACTGCACCAACATTGCCATTCGTCTTCACACGTGAGTCATTGCGCTTTGAAACCACCGCAATGGAGCCTCCTGGCCGACTCCGAACGTAACGCAGACTCCATATCCCAAACTGGTTGCCAGACTATCACCGGGCACATAGAAAGACAGACAACCATTCACGCTGTCACTGAATGACTCAGAGTGGCAAATGAACCCGCGCTGCCCACATGGGAGATAAGTGGATGAACCGCCACGCCATACTTATTTGATTGTCAAACCGTGACATGGCAAGGGGCAAGAATCAGCCTCCAGTCCTGTAGTTGGCGGCAGTATGAAATACGATAAAAAGTGGCTATCAACTGCCACACACAGCAAGCGATCCATCTGCCGGTCCGTGTGCTTACTTCTCACGTACATCCGAGTAGCTTGATGTCAATTACCTTGCCAACGTTGGGCGAGTCTTTGGTTCTGATAGCAGCTTGGAGCAGGCAGGAGGGGACGGGAGGAGGGTTTTTCTGGATGAGGTCCCTGTAGCTGTTGGAGAGATGAGCAGAAGCCGCGTCGGAAACCTGGCCTTTTCTCCTCGACGTCAGGTTGAGCTTCTCTGCTGCCCTGTAGAGGAAAGTGAGAAGTGTCGTCGCGGCAACGCTCTGGAGCACTATTTGCAATAAGGGTGGTGGTATTTTGGAACGGTGGTTCGGGAGACGTTTACCTGGCCAAAAAGGACATGGCGGCGGAGTTTGCGATGGTCACCACTCTGGAGAGGTGAGGAATCTTGGAGCCGGCGTGGACCACGTCGCTACATCTTAACACGGCATTGTCTGAGGCCTGCCACGGAGAGAGCCGTTTGTTCCAATCCAAACATGTCATTGCACTCAAGCGCCCACCTCCTAATGGTCCCCCTATCGTGACGCGTTCGTCTGAGTGGGGCGCAGCGGGTTCAACGAACGCCATTAGTCACATGACGGGCCGCGGAGTGCGACGAATCATTTGTAACGGCTCCAAATGTGCGCCGTCTGACTGAAAGCGGGGCTCAGAAGACAAAATGACGCCGTAAATTGAACAAAGCGCGTCGTTCAAATAGGGTGTTGAGGCCTTCATTTGTAGAAATCCATTCGTTTCACTTTTTTTTTTTTTTTTTTTAATCTGCGTTAGCTCTCACGTGGTCTCTTGATTCTGATATTTTCCATTCTTATTTCCTCTCGCTTTCTCCGCAGTGCCATTTCCTCGCTGCCATCTCATCTCGACACTGTGGAGCGTCTCTCCTTTCACATTATTCCATCACATCGCTTCATAATATATTCTATTGATCTCTTCCTTCTACTCAACAGCTTTTTGGGCTTTTTTTTTTTTTTTCTCTTTTTCAGGAACTGCGCACACCGTTAGCGCGTCGTTGCCGTTGTGCGATTCACTGAGACGGTGTCAGTTAAGAGAAGTGTGTCGATTGCAATCAAATGTGGAGAGTCATAACGAATTTCTTTGATGGGACTGTTGGGGCCTTGCATTAAGTGTGACTTCTATCAAGCTAATGCATACGTGTTCACCCTTTTAATAGGACCACCGCTACTACTGATCACAAGAGCTTTTTGACCGGCTGCATTTTATGAGCAGGTTAAATCATGACCCAATTCCATTCCATTAACAGAAGTACTTATGATAACGTCTGCAGCCATGGCATCTATAAAGGATGCGAGCAGGACCAATAAATCATTGCTTTGCTGACTTTCGCCCATCCAGATGTACATTATCCCCGAAGCTCATTAAAAGGGGGTCCACACGAGGGGCTTGCATCTGATTTAGTGTTCAAGAAAGGCTTTTATGGGTACCTGATGATGGGGATAAAAAGCAACCCCATCAGGAGACACACGATGCTGCTCCTCGACCGGACGGTCCATATCCTGGTTGGGGGGCTTGGCGAGCCTCCGCCTGAGGGTCTGCGGGGTTCTCTGAGGCGTTCTGGGGCTCCGAGGTGTCCTGGGACTTTGAGGGCAATGATTCAGGCTATGTGGTTGGGAGGCGGATCTGTCCCCGAGTTTTGTGCCGCTTTGCCCGAGCGGCGCGGCGTTCCTGGCGCCGGATAACTGATGACCTCCGTTCAGAGCCAAGTGCACTGCCTCGCGTTTGAGCTGGCTCAGCATTGTGCCACAGGTGGCGCATTTACCCAGCTCCCTGCATCTGTCTCTGGAATCTGGGCTGGACCGGCTGTGGACACGGAGGTTGTCTTGAAGAAATGCACACAGGTCACTCGTGTCCTTTAGAGTTTGACAAAACGGGAAACGGGGACCGTTATTCCTTCATGGTCTTAGTTTAGCAGTAGTTGGTGGAATATGAATTCAGGAGCAAAATCTGCCCGTTTTTATCCATTTCGGAAGCTGGCTATTTTGCCGCTTGCCGCCGACTGAAAATGACATCACGGTGCGCAAGGTCTCCAATTCCCAAAAATAGGTGAACCGTGATTGGTCGCTTCCTGAACCCTTAGGCACTGTGATGTCATTTTCGGTGGACAGCAAGTGGCAAAATGGCCACCCCCTGAGATGGATAAAAATGGGTGGAGTTTGCTATTTAATTCATATTTCATCAACGCAACATTCATCACAATACTGTATTTACACCATCGGTGGCACATACAAGTTAATAATGATAAAAATATACTCAAATGAAATAAAGAGGGCCTGCATAGTTATGAAATGGGTTATCATGTTCATGCTGTTTATCCTAAAACTGATTCATTCCATTTTGTTCGGAATATTTTTTTTTAATATATTTTAAAAATTGAGGGAGCCGAGAATGCGGGGCCGCCACTGAATACAAAACACAGCGCCATTTGTAGCATGTCATTCTTCTTGGCCCCACTTGCCCCTGAATCAATGTGTGCTGGAGTAGCAGTTGTTGTTGTTGTTGTTGTTGCCATATGCAAAGAGATCTCAAATGGATCACACTGTGATTATTTCAAGCATACTTGACTGACTGCAGACCAAAGACATGCGGTCTGGACAATCTTACTGACCTTACAGGAGAAGTGATGGTGCACAGAAAGACTGAGCGCTTGTTTCTTGAGAGCAACAAGGGTGGCCGAGCATCTTTCACAGCACGCATCTTTGCTCTCGGACCTCCCGAGACCGCGATTTTTGCGCAAGGTGTCGCTCAAGGACATGATGCGCTCTCCCACGGAACCAGGGAGAGTCCTATAGGACGGGACCGCCTCTGCTCTCGGGTGGTACATGTTCCGATGCGGGTCGCTCCTGAATCCCCTCGTACACTCTGGAGCGGGGCGCTCGTCGGGACGAGAGACGCGATCGTCCCCTTTAATACTTGCGTAAACTCGGGAGGACTCGCAGTGATGCTGCACTTTAAGGTCCTGAGAAATAAAACAATTATGAGAAGGATGTATGTGGGCTCCAGCGGGCGGCAAATTAGATATCAATCGATGTGGACAACTGCAACCACACCCAAATGTTTTCTAACAGCGGAACAATTGCGGCCGCGTGTTTAAACTACAAACCAAGCAATATTATTTGAGCGGGGGGGAAAGGCGTCAAATAATTTGTTTCGTAAGAAAATAGGACTTACCAAACGCGTTCCTCTCGGGGAGGCGGTCAATCTTTCTCTCCCTGCTGTCAGAGATGACATGCCAACTTGTTAATATTTAAAAAGATATCCGAACAAAGACTGGATGCACTTTCGCGCGATTTCTCCACAGCTCGTTTCGTGAAAAGCGACAATCTTCCTCCCATGGTGGTTATGATGGAGAATGAGACGGAGTAAAAGTGTGGAGGACACTGTCAGAGTCGGATAGGTGACGGCGACGGTGTCGGAGATGGAAAGAGCGCCCCGCGAAACACTCGTGGATTTCCTCGCCGTGTCACTATTGAACAAGTCCTCAAGACGGCGCCAAAGAGCCACATTTCAGCCATCCAAGGCCAAGCAACAGCGCTGATGACTTTGCATCATGAGTAACTGATTTGCATGGCTGACATCTGGGGAAAAGAAGCGTAATCATTGATTTCTCATTGTTGTTATTTGAGAGCATTGAATGAGATGCATAATTGATGTACAGAAATATTAAATGCAGACAATCAAATACAATAAAACAATAACCCATGGCATCTGGGAGGGCTGGCAGTGAAAGAGTTAACTCATGTATAATTTTGTGTTTGTATTGTAGTGCCCCGTGTGGCCAAAGTGTATACTACAGAATCGATCCATCTCTTTTTTTAGGATAGATGGACAATATTTCTAAGGAATTTATTTCGGAATCTGAAAGATGTTTTACTTTGAAAAAATACCGGATTATCTGTTACATCCTGCTACGGAGCGCCGAAGGTGACGTAAAGAAAGAAGAAGACGACACTACTTCTGGGAGGGAGAGAATCACGGAGGAGGACTTGGAAACTGTATCTAAATACAAGATCAGATTTAATGTCTTTGTATTTCGAGCCAATTTCAAAGTAAAATGCCATTAAACTCGCCAACGGGTGAAAATGCTCCGTGTTTGTTGTTTTCAGTGACCCGGGGGATGACCCGAAAGTACATGAAGCGTATAAAAAAAGAGAGAGGGACCCCTGGCAAAAAAATGCTCTATCTCGCAATCTTTGCGAGAGAATGCAAAACTTTGCGAGGGAACGGAAAGTTTTTTTTTTCCATGTCACCTTAGGGGGCCCGTACGATTGAGTGGGCGCACGCCAAAAAATCATCCAACCTGCTGTGAAGAAAGACGCGGCTGTGTCAAGTTAGCAGAGATACTGTAGCTAAGCGGAAACTCTGCCCACCTTCTATCAAAGTAATTTAGGGGGATGTGTGATTTTGAAAGTATTTTTCACGTTCTTCTTTCATTTATATTATATTTTGCTTGATTTAATATATCTATTATCAAATCTGAAACGTTGACAGTAAATTGCTCCCGAAGCTTCAAAACGCATCCCGGTATTCCGCTAATGCTTTTAATTTCTCAGTAATAACCGGAAGTTATGTTGGTGTTCATCGACGCTTGATGCTAGGCAGGGACCACAAAGGATGAGGAGGGGGAAGACGGCGGTGTGGGTGAGGACATTCGCCGGGTTGGGGGAGGACCGGAGGGACAGGAGGGTGCGGGTTAGGGGGCCTCGGCACATTGTTGCCTACTCGAGGAGCGACGAGGTCGTTCCACGTGAATTTTCATTCCACATGCCCGGTAAGCTGCAACCATTTAAATGTTGCGTGCATCTGCGCGGTTTCTCGCTTCCACTCCTGCCGGCGGCCCGCGATGGTTTATTGCGGTGAAATTACATTAAGTTACACACCACCGGTGTGGAGGCGGCTGCAAAAGGTTCACCGTGGTTACTCTCGGATTACAGGAAAAAAAAAAATCTGGCATCATTTGCATCACGGTTTGGACTGATAAATTTGTCTGAGTTATCTGTTAGATGACGCGAATTGCGAACGGAGGACGAGAAGCGTGATGACGAACTTGTTCGTAAACGCCCTCACGTCATCATTTTTAAATCCGATAACCTTATTGTTGCACAGGCAGGTCAGGTGCATTTAGTGGGTAACAATGAATGTTGCCTTTTAAACTTTTATTTTTTATTTTTTGTACAAAAGGAGTATTTAGGCGCATGAACGTAAAGCCATAAATGTGCTATCTGTGTGTGAGTACAGTCACATAGCTAACATGCAATAAATGACATCATAAAAAAATGTATTCAATTGTCAGGTCATATCAGAATCAGATGGTCATTCGTTACAGATATCGAAAACCGCCCTGAATGAAACAAATAATGTATGAGATTGAAGTATGATGAACATTCCGTTTTAACCACCCTTCTGTGTGTTTCGATGTATTTCGAGTCCAATGTGGGAATAAAATCACGATGTCGCTTATTGCGTGTTTTTCCCCCAGATAAGCTTGAACATTGTCAGTCATCACTGATCTTTTTCCAGAGCGTCCAAGCCAGTTGGAGGACGCAGAGTCACACGGGTCATTTGGTCAAAGCGCAGCATCTTAAGGGACCGCAGCATCTCTGAGCCGACGCCGTCGCTGTGACTCACCCGCAATGGACGCGGAGGGCTTGAATCATGGCCGACCGCACCGCCGGACCCTCGCTGACTTCTGGTGATCTGGAGCGAAGGGATTGTTTCAACGGACGGTCCTGAGATCGGCGCCTTCTTCCTCGGGTATCGCCTGAGCTTCTCCGACCGGTCATGGGTCTCCTGTGGGTGCTGTGGGTGTCCATGTTGACGGTGTGCGTCGCCATTCCCATGGACGCGGCGGCGGGGAGCCACAGCCTGTTTACCTGCGAGCCCATCACGCTGCGGATGTGCCAGGAGCTGCCCTACAACACCACCTTCATGCCCAATGCGCTCAACCACTACGATCAGCAAACGGCCGCTCTCGCCATGGAGGTACGCACGCTGCAGCGCCGACACGCCAAAGAAAGTCGTTTTCACGAAAAGGGCAGATCGAGGAAAGGAAAAAAAAAAAAAATCGTCGTTTGAAAATGATATTGGGTAACAATTTGTCTGAAAGATGAATCGCTATTAGGGACAAATTCAAGCATGCAATGGGGGGTCAGTTTGGCAGCCCTCCAATTGTCATTTTTATCAATGACACACAGATAGTTTCATATGTCTAAAGTTCATCATTTTCACTGCGAAATTCGGGTATTTTATTTTTTTTAATCACTTCTATCCTGCCGATAGTAGGTAAGCCGCTCTCAAAGTGCTAGCCTACTTTCTTCTGGAGCCTGGAGTGCATTCCCAAAACATGAAGAAGAAAACGAATCCTTCATATTCGCGCCCCGGGAAAGCGAGAAGAGTGCATTATTAAAACGGCAGTGATTCACACAGGCGGGCGCGTTTGTCCTAAAATAGTCGGCGGCGTTGTTGCTCGCCATCCGATAAGGCACTCCGGCGACATTTTTGAACTCCACATTTGAAGCCGTCTGCTCCGTTTGACTGCGGCGCGAACGCAGGCGGCGCGTTTGCTTTCAGTTTGTTTCCATCAATGGATTAAAGATGATAATCCACAATTTGTTGTTTTCTCTGTCCTCGAGATAATCCCTACATTTCACAGCCATACCACAATCAAGGAGCAGATGCGTTCCCTCATGAAATAAATCCCATATTTTAGATCGCGGCGACTGATCCTGCCGCCAGCTTCGATCTTTTGAGCAATTCGTGACCCCAAACGACGACAAAACTGTTTATTTCGGTTGATCTCTTCGGAGCATCGTGACCCCTTTCGGCCTCCCTTTCCCAACGTCGGCCCTTGACCCCGCCCCCGGAGCGCCGCGGCGTTGAAGCGTAGCGCTCCGCCGGCCATCTGTGCCGGCTCCGCCTCGCTTTGGCCGCTTCGCCCAAGCGGGAGCGGGAAGTCAAATCCGGCGTTATGTAACCCGCACGCGTGGCTCTCGGGCGCCGTGTCGCACGCCGCGCTCATATTTGCGTTCGCTACTGGAAATGAGGAGAACCCTACCATGCTCGTGCATCATCTAAATGCACGGCATTCTCCCCCCCCCCCCCTACGCCCAACGTATTCCCTCTGTTTTTTATTTTGCGGCCTACGATATTTTTTAACAAGTGTTTGTTGTTTCAGTACAGATCGCATGTGTGCGGTGGTACAACGAGAACGCGTCTGGCTTTGACGGCGTTCACTTTGATTGGTCACGGATCCACAATTAAGTCTCTGTTAGAAAGAAGCCAGAAATGCGTTTGGAGCGGGGGGGAAATTCCACGGAGACCAAACGGGTTCTAAATCGTGAGGACTGTTGCCCTGTTCGGCTCCTGTCCATTGGCTAACACGCCCCAGATCCAGTTCATGGGAGAATTCAAAGCCTTTAAGATGTTCAGGGCAGGCAAATGAGAATTGACGGATGATTTGCAAAGGAGGGAGGTTCCTCGGATCGCCGAGACAATGCCGATGAATGCCGTGCACCGCGGAGAAAGAGGCAGTTGGACTGGAACCAACCAACGCCTGGCGTTCTTGCGGCTTTTGTGTCAACCCCTGAAACTGTTGTGGCGCTGGCCCATTTCAGGGAGGCGGGGTTTGCTGGTGTATTTTGTTCGTAATTGTAGATCAAGATTCTTAATATCCCTTTCTGACTATCAATTTTTAAAAAAAAAATCGATATATTCCAGGTTACAATCATGTACTTCCTCAGATGAAGAGATTGATTTCCGAATTGGTCAGGGATGGCACCGCACTTGTTCCTCTATCTGTCGCCGTTTTCTGTTTTTGGGGATTCCTTTTCGCCGGAGCCCGTCACCGTTGACCGGCGAATGACCTCGCAGCCAAAGTGGGCCAGCGGCCCCGGGGCTGGGAAAGGGTTATTTCTGGGCCACAATGATGCCGTCTCCCAAGATAAGTGGCGGCGTGGCGGATTTGACTGGCACGTTGAAAAAGAGAAAAGAAAAGGGGGGTAAAATCCCTTTTTGGAGAAGGATGCATGAGGACCGGCGTGGCTTCGTCACAGTCAACCGTCCTGGACATGCAGAACAGATGCTCTTACTGTAACAATACCTTCCCGGCCTGCCCTGTGAGCATATTCCGTCTTTATTTTGGCCGCTACGCCCCTTTTTCCTCTTCCTGCTTGGACTCGGCCTCTTCAGGGGCTATACGCACCCTGAGCGCTTGCGCTTCGGCCGTCGTTTTCTTTCATCGCGGGGATTGATTTTGAGCCTCACGTGTGAACATCAGCGCAACTACGGGGAATTTGTGGGGGTCTTCCCGGCCTTTGGCCGACGTCATTGCACGTGATTGATGGAAGGGTGGCCAGTTATTGGGATGATGTAGCATTTGCCATCAAGGTACAAAACCACACCGAGACAAGAAGCAGCCCTTTAAAGTCAAGTGCAGGGGTCTGCGAAGGGGGCCAATTCGTGTCACCGATGTCTGCATGCGTTGTTTACGTGAAGCCCAAGCTGAGCCTTGTTTCCAGGAAGAGCCAATGACACCACATTTTGTATGCCGACTTGTTTTGTGTCGTGCACTCCACACAAAGACCAGGCCGTTTTTCAGCTGCTCCGTCATGTTCTTGTCCTTCCCGAGGGTTGAGCGGAGAGCCCCCCCGCTCGGGTTTCCAGCACACCCGGCCAGACGGCGTCATGTTACAAGTGTTGCCGGGAAGAGATCGCTTTGAACAGATGCTCCACCCGCGCTGCGCCTGGCTAGTAAAGACGTATCCCCCGCATCTAAAAAGGACACAACGCGGTCTGGTAAATCCAACCCAGCGTGACCTCGGCTTAAAAAGACCCCCTTGTTTTATTTAATGTCCAACAGGCTCTTTATTGGCTGCCGACTGAATGAGAAGCTCATCGAGCGAGCGAGCGAGGCGCCGCTTTACACGGCGAGGCCACGTTTTTGAAAACACTTTCTTGGCGGTGAATGACAAGACCACCTCGGTGGACCCATCGCTCTGCTCTCTCAACCCGCATTGCCCTCCCTCCTCCCCCCCTGGATCTCTTTTGTCCGTCCCCTCCCCCCTACGCAGGGCTCACCCGTTGCCCAGGAAACGGTCCCAATTGTGCTATTAACAAAGGGAGCGGAGGCTTTCTTGCCTCCCGGGAGGCGGTCCCCTCCGGCCCGCACCCTGACCTCCTCGAACCTTGCTTCACCCCCGCCCCCACCTGCCCTAGTGATGCATCAATCGTTGCCATGACGCCAAAGTTTGAAATTTGAAGAATGGAATGGCAACAGAGGAGGGACAACGGGGTGATGGGGGGGGGGCACTGACGGGAAGAGAAATGACTGCGATTTTTTTTTTCTCCCTCTTTTGGTAAAAGCTCAAATCAGGCCAAACCGCCACGATCATCAGTCAGCGGTGGCTTCGTTAAAAACAAATTGCTTTAGCATTCACGAAGACATACGCTATCACATTTGAATGCACTTTATCGGATTAGGCGGTATTAATAATTGATTCCACTGTAATCTTAATCATATTCAAACACGCTGCGTAATCAGTCAAGTGCTCAGGGGTGAATGGAAGGTCAAAGCCGTTTCTTTTCAGTCCACACAAGTCTAGTTTCACTTCAATTAAAAAATTAAAAAAAACAATACACAAACTAAATGGTTGCACAATATTTTCATTGACAAAAAGGTTGAGAATTTGAAATCACAATTTCTATCTTGGCCTAAAGACTCAGACTTGGGCTGTTGCCAAAGCTTGTTTCTCTCGCTGTTGTCTGTCTGTCCATCTGTGATCTGGATTATGCAAGAAAGGACTGATTGTCTTTCAATTAGTTGAATGGCTCTGTGGTAAAAACGTTTTTGTTTTGTTTTTCTCTACATTTCTAATTATTACAAATGAGGATAAAAAAAATTGTCATTTTTAGTTCACTTGCTTAAATGGAGTTTCAACTCTCCTCGCGAATAAATAACACCAACGAATTGTTTACGAAATGCGAGTCGCCTCCGGGAATGAAACGACTTTGCAAACGGGACCGGCCATCACCTGTGCAAGTTGACACGGCGATTGCTCCTTACATGCTTTGATAATTGGACCAGTGGTTGGCCAGCTGTTCCCCGTGTAGCCATTAACATTCAATCCCCACGGCAAACCCCCCACCCCCCACCCCCAA